GATGAACGTCGGCATGCGAAAGGTGCACAGGAAGGTTTCCTTGGAGATATGGGAGGGGCCAGGCCGTCATTGTAAGGGAGCTGGCAGAACCTCGCGTTTGCTCCGTCGAGGAGAGGATAGGCGAGACTGCAGCCCGGGGGGAGAACGGGGAGACCCCCTCCAGTGCTGCGAAGACCGCGTCGATATGCGTCATTCTTGCCGCAGTTTGTTCTTAATCTGTTATCTGATATAATGCGCATTCGCTCCTCTGTTATATACTGGTCTGTGCTGCTGCATTGCATTAAACCCCCATGCGCCGGGCCTACATCCCCCTCCACACCACTCCCTAGAACACCTTTGACCTCAGTACCCAAATATTAATTTAATAAAATACAGCTTGAATGTAGAGAGGGTTGTGAATGCATTTTACAGCTTCCTCCGATAACCCAAACTGTGTCTGAGCCCAATTCTCAATTATCTCCGTTCTTTCCGTGCATGCTGCCCATGTGATTTTTTTGAAGTGTCGCATTTTGCGAGCAGGGTGCATTATATGAAGCCACAGGAAACAGCAAGACCGTGCCCCAGGACTAAGTGGGACTGAACGTTTCGCAGAAATCAGAGGAAACATTAAATCTTCATCAGAGATGTTACAGGGGCCGAGGAACGGTGGGAACCACACAGTTGCATTGCATGCAAGTGGATGCAGTAAGTGCATCTTTAACACACCCATGCGTGCAGCATCTGTGTCACGCTCATGCACCTCGCACATGAACACTGCCCCCAAGGGGCTGAGGTCACTGCCGGTTCCCTGGAGAAAAGTGCTGACTTGCAATAGTGTGAATCTTGCCAGAAGCAAACACATCCTATCAACATCATACACCCTCTCTTCCACTTATCTGCAGTGGCCAGAGGGTCCACCAACAGCTGGTGGGGATGACGTGGGGGGAGGGGGGCAGGGGGTCCGCTATGCTGTCGTCATAGATGCGTTGTTAATGAAGGCCTTTTGGACATCCCTTCCCATGCCCCCCCCTCCCCAACGGCCCATCTTAAATGCAGTGCTCCCATTGTTTTTAATCCCACAATACCCAGCAACATCGCTCGGACAGGGTGCCATAGACACCCCGCAGAGATTATCAACAGTTACCGCTTGGCTTGCTGTACACTGAGGCGCTGGCGATTGCCTCGTGGTCAGGGGGAGGAGGGGGGGTCGTCTGAGAAAACGAAGAAGGGAAAAAAAAAATCTCAGACTTTTTCAGCATTTGCATTTCAAAAGACTATTGTGAAGGATTTCATCTCTTTGACTTTATCCAGTGTCACCAAAGTGCACGTAATCACACATTGTATTATAAATGAACAAATCGCGTTTCTTTTCTAATGAATGATGGAAAACAACGCATCATTTAAAAAAAAATTCTGTCAGGAAATTTCTGCCTTTTCCCTCATGAAACATTAAGCGAGCGCTCTGTTGTGTTACTGAGTTATGGTAATCTTTCAAAATGAAATGACTCGTTCGCGGTGGTATTTTGTAAACAGCCACTGGCCCTCGTGCCAAACCTGCCTCGCACTCCCCCACCCAGCGTAAGGACGGCACAAAGAACTTCACTGTGTTTAATCTTGTCACAGAAGTGCTCCAAAGCGTTTCAGAGGGCCTCATTTTGGGGGGGGGGGGATTTGGGTTGCTGTGTGTGTGTGGTGGGGGGATGGGGGGGGCAGGCGTTGTAGACCCCTCCTACAGAGACGAAGACATTCAAGTTCGAATTGCGTCCCCCGTCTTTTGTTCGAGGATGCTGAGTAGACCGGCTCTTATGGGACAAACTGCCCCCCCCCCCAAATCAACTCCCATCACGCCTCTCGCTGCTCACCCGACGGCTGGCAGCACCCCGCATTGTCCAGGCTGAGACAGCGCTTGCTGCTTGCCTTCTGTCTATGGGAGTTGGACGCCTGACAGTACGGCTCTTATTAATACATAGACGATCCGAACAAGAAAGAAATCACCCCCCCGCCGCCTGTCTGTGTCACCTTTCCTTTTATCTCCTCTCCTCTGCATACTTTTCCTGCCACACACGTTTCTTTTTTAATCCAACAAAATTCCAGTTTTCCCAGATCCCCTTCCTCTAACGTTTATTAAGTCTGACTTCAAGCAGTCAAGTTTTTGTCTATTTAATAACTGAAATATGTACTTCTGTTTGCCCAACAACCTCGAACTGACAAGCAGTACCAGTTGTCCATTTTTTTAACTATTCTGCTCAGAAAATCGTTTCAAAGCGACGAGGAGCCGAAAATACACCCTAATTATTAAAGTTACATTCGCCTACATCTGTAGGCGGTTCCGAATGGACCACGCGAAATGGCTGGGATCTCCGGTCCGTCTGGCAAACTCTCGCCATCGCCTTTCTCTTCGCTCCACTCGAAGCCTTTAGCGAAATCGTGCCCCCCCCCTCATTAAGCAGCCCACAGTGGCATGTGGGTTATTAACTTTAGCATCGCGCTCTGCGGCCATCTCTCGCCGCGGATGCTGTGTGCATCCCTCCCTCCCCCCGCCCGGACTCCGGAGCTCGCAGCCTGCTGGCGCGGCGTTTCGCGCAAACTTGCGCGTTTGTGGCAGCGGCCGGGAGCCCAGGCTGGTCGCGGGGGCTCTAACATGTTGAGCCCGCTGCCCTTCGGCACAGCCAAATGTTTCCGCAGCTGCCCTTTTGTCCCCGTTCCTTAAGTAAACAAAGGACAGATACAAATTAATGACCTAAATTTACAGGCAAAATATACAGCTCCGTCTGAGGGCAAACTGTTTTCTAACAGCAGATGCAAAATGTTATAGCTTTGCAAACAATGAACGAGTATATTACATGATCATTATTATCAATATCTAAATGCATACCCTTACGCGACACGGAGTCGCTGCTTCTCTAGGCTTTATTTGATTTGAATCAAAATCCGACTGCTTAACATTACTCTGTAAGAAAAAAAAAACTCTACAGCCAAATGCTGCACTTTGCACAAATTAATACATAAACGAAAAAGTAGATTCTGTTCTATGTATGGTTTGTCATACAAAGCCTGGGGAAAAAAACGTTACCGATTTGACGTCGTTCGAGGCTGTAAAATTTTAAGAGTGAATATGGGTTTATATATTTACCTTCTGATGGAAAGATGTTAAATAATCGATTCGCATGAAATTTTATAAACCATAATTGCTACTACTGCTATAACTGACGGGCATTGGGCTGTCGTTAAACAGGGAGCCAACAAGTTGGCTAATGATGCTTCTTCATGAAACGGTAGATTGTATTGCTTTTTCGGCCACCTTTTGAAATTAACAATAAAAATGATTCAGTAATAAATGTTCTTGCATCTCTTTATAGTGAATGAAACTGTGTATGATATTGGCAAAGCACACTTTTCCGTGAAGCACCAAAAAAAGTGTCGCCTTTCAGTACCACGGCGGAGCTTGTGGCTATTTATCTTTTTATATTTATTTTTAAAATGTTTTAAGAATGTGCTGGAAGGAGCATCGGAGGTGAGCGGCGCACAGTACGCCATCTGTAGCGATGCCCCCGATGAATAACACGTACTGACATCAAAGTGGTCAGCCCTCGATGCATCTGTAAGGCCAGGTTTGCGAGCAGCGAGACATTGGACAACACTGATTTTTTTTTTTTTATTCTCTGGGAAACCGTACATTAAGAAGTGTTTGGCAGGAGTGCGCGTATGTGCGGGTGTGTGTGTGTGTGTGAGTGTATTTGCACGAAGGGGGCGGGTGCTCATCCAAGCTGGTGCACATTTTCGTAGGTGCTGCCCACGCCAAAAAGAGAGATCCAGCTCACATCGGTAACCTACTGATAAACAGGTCTCTCTCGGCATTAAATGCAATAAAGGTTTAATAAACAAATAAGGAAATTATATCTAGGTTCGTCCTAATTCAATTTTCTGTCACTTAGGTTTAGTCTGGCAAGCTGTCCGTTCTGATGTACCTAAAAACGGTAATCAAATCCGTTTTATGCTTAGCTGATGCCTACCGTGTTGTTACATTCAAGGTTTCACCGGGAGCCATTGAGGCGGTACCTGTCAAGGTGGAAATATTGAGAACTGATTTCATACACTAAACGTTATTTATCGATAGAGTTAGAGGGAGATGAAGGCTGGTCTTCTTCCAGACATGTCCTGCGATGATGAAGCGCAAGCGGCATGCATTGGTCCGGCTGCAGGACACGTTCATGCAGCTATAAGGGGCATGTCGCTGTGACGCGCTTAAAAGGTTCACCTCTAGGTAACGTAGAATATACATATATCTAGATATCGTTCTAGAAACTAGAACTGCTCTGACAAATGACGTAACAAGGTAAACATTCCGGTTCGCACGCATTACTGATGACATTTGGGTGAGCAAAAAGTAATACCGTGGGAAGGCACTGAGTAATTTTTCTGGCTTTTGAAATCCAGATGGTTAGTCGTGCCCCAATATCCGTACCACGCATGCAGATTTCATATCTGTATTGCTGTTTAACTGTCCCCCCATATGCAAGTAATTATGCAATTCAGTGCTCAGTAAACAACGGAGAGGGGCATGCCCCCACTGCCACCACAAACCTACAGTGATTCCCCTTACGCATCTGTCTTCATGAAGAAAGTGAAACTAGAGGCTAATTCAAATATGCCAGGCCTATACCTTTTGTATTATTTACTGTAATTCTAAATGTTCTAAAGACAAACCAGAGAGCATAATTAAAGCCTGGCTTTGATTTTGACACGTAGTCTCATATTCCTATTCAAAATTCTCCTCCGTCTTTCATTTTAATGTAGAAAAAAATCATATATTTGAAGAACTTCCCAAAATATTCAGGTCTAATCCAGGTAAAATGTACCCTCTCATGGCACAGAGAAAATAAAATATATATTTTTTTAAAAACATGATTGTGTGTTTAAAGGAATAATTAAAGTTTCAGCAAACAAAAAGGAAAAATCACGTTTGGACCCATATATCATCGATCACACATCCACTGGAAAAAAGCAATGCGATATGCAAATGAGGTTTCAGGTTCTTATAATTTATTGCAGTTAGCACACAATTTAAAAATTTCACCAACAGCACACCAAAAAGTACAAAACTAAACAGGCTCATAAATTACTCCCCTTGAGAAAATAAAACATACTATGATTGTCAAAGCTAAATGTCTACATCCAAAAAATAAACAATGAACAATGTCAATGGAACAACACTTCAGAGGGATGGCCAATAAAAGTGAGTATTCTGAATTAAATCAGCTTCTTTTCAGACAGTGATTGTCTTTTTCTGACAATTATTTTCATTCTCCCTTTCCTCTTTACAGTGTCCCCTACATTTCAACCTTTTTTCTTTTTTTTTTAATTATTTTTTCATTTTTTATTTTACACCAGACCTTTCCTGTTTTCAAGTCACCAAAGATAAATGGAGATGCTTAACAGGTTATTTTTTCACAGCTTTCTTTTGTTAAGGAAAATATCAAATAAAACAGTCCAGTAATACACAATTTGATGCCAGTAATAACCTTCAGAACAAAAACAAGCTGTTTACAGTAGTTTAAGGCGGTCAAGTACAATTAAGAAAAAGTAAGCTTAAAAAAAAAACAAGAACTAAACCACAGATGATGTTTTTTCCATGATATTCCATACAAATTACTGGTGAGTGCAAATGGGGGAGAATTACCACTGTGCAAAATGCTAATTGCCATGTGCAACGTGTACGGAGTGTGGCCTTCACCAGCTGATGTAGCTCTCACATGCTCTGCAGAGTAAACCAACCCCCTGAGCATGGAAGGACTAGCCAGTCATTCCAGCAGTAGTACAGAGCCCAGCACCTCTCGTGCGTACAAGGGACCTCCTGTCAAGCCAAAGCTTTAGCATTTCGTCTTTCACCTCTCAACCTAGGGCAGGGATTTTCTATTTATTTATGTTTAAATAGTTGTTTTTTTCCCTTTTCTCCCAGAGAGAGAGAGAAAGAAAGAAAGGGAGAGAGAAAGAGAGAGAGAGACAGAAAGAGAGAGAGATAGAGAGCGAGCGAGAGCAAGTATGATCCAGGCTGTGTGGCCTTAATGCGTCTTGGAATTTCTCAGGAAAATTGCGGACAGTTTCGCTGAAGGGAATATCGACTGTGAACGTTCACGAAAGCACAAAAACGCGAAAGCCACATGTCGAGCCATTTTATACAGTTTTGTTAGCACCATTTCTCCCCCCCCCCCCAACAGGAAGCAGTTCTTTGAAAATAATCCTTTACAAAACATTTGTGTCCAATTGAAACACAAAATCGCTAAAGATAATTCTGCCTTCTGTTATTGTAAAGATTTTCTCTGATGTATTAACAAGCCCAAGGGCTTTGGAGCAAAGATATTTTTGTTTCCATAAAGGACTCCCATACCTAAAGAGACATCTAAATGAGGTTGAATTTAATACAAGAGGGAAAAAAATCAATTATTCCAAGTGTGTTCTGGTTAAGTGTGGTCTCTTGAATGCCAGGTGTGTGCCTGCATATATCTATGAGGGAGAAGTCCGCAATGCTTGCGTGGGAACACTCATGTTCGCAGACACATACAGATGCATGGGAGTGTGACAAAATTAGATTTCACAGACTTCTTTTTTTCTGCTGTTTGCGTGAAATAACTTCAGGTGTATTCAGGCTCGTGCAGGTGAGTTTTTCTAAAGAAAAAAGACCTCAGCTTTTCAAGTTCGCAGCAAGTGCCAAATCAAAACATAAATAAATAAATTACTGACAAAGCAGACAGCTTACTTTTTAAATATGAGATTAAAAAAAAAAAGGAAAAGGTCAATCCTTGTTTTGATATAGACAGCAGATGCGGACCTGAACTCATGACAGTCTAGCAATGCAGAGCTTGACAGACTGATAAGTCTTCGAAAGGATAAGCCAGTGCTAGCGTGTCCCCTACACTGAGGATCTGTCAGACGGAGGTCGCAAACTGGTACAATTCTACACATACTTAAAACTTAACAGTGCATTTGTACAAAATCTTCTCTGTCCCACAGATCAATCCATAGGAGCTCAAAACCACATAATAAAGAAAAGGGGAAAAAATTCTATTTTACCCTGAAATTAAAATAATCAATTAATTTAAAACACACTCTCCAGATGCAAAACAACAACAAAAAAATCTTAAAATAAATCAAATTCATGCATTTTTCCATAGCTGTTACATTTACGATTTTAACAGACTGAACCTGGGAATATTGGCACAGTCTGTCTGGTATCTGATCAATTACAGTTTACAGTAATACAGCAATTCACATGTTTTATTATACAGCTTGGACTTCATGCAACAACAGATCCCATTTTTGAGACAGAAAAATATCTCCTTAATCACTATAGAAATCTATACAGTCAACATAAGATTTTTTTTTTAGTTTTACAAGGGATATGTCTAACGACGGTAACTATGCAAGTAAAAGCAAAGTCGGTTTATCATAATTATAAAGAATAAAAAAAAGATTTAAAATTGTCAAAAAAGGATGCTGTACATTGCATGATTACCATATTGTCTTTCATCAGTCAAGTTTCCTACTTTACATACAAAAAAAAGCCTTACGTTCAGTAATGGAAGTGTTTTATCTGTCAGCAACCAGGCTTCTTTCCAAAATATAACTGAAGATCACCAGGTATGAGAAATGCCAAGGAAAGTACAGTAGTGCACAGTACACACACAGATATGTGCACATACGCTGGATATGTGCTCTGCTGTGTATTTACGTTCACAGTACCCGTTTAGTGTATTTAAATCTTTTTTTTTTTTCTCTCTCCAGTGTGTTATTTGCGATCTTGAAAATGGTGTGAAGAATTTGCAGTTTTACAAATAAATTTGCCAACAGAGAGCTCAAGAGCACATAAAGTCTTGGATGCATTATACTCTGGTCTCAAAGGAAAAAGAAAGGAAACTAAATATATGTGTTTAACAAAAAAAAAAAAACAACAATTATTGACACCAGCCTCTTGAGTCTGTGTTTCTGTACAAAACCTGAAAAAAAATTCCAGTCACTTTAAGGGAACAATATACAATTATAGAATTAAATAACAGGAAATAAACATCAGCAGTAACATTTTCGATGTGCTACTAAAGTGCAGTTTAGCAAGGTTTGCGCCGAAAAGGACGAGAAACATGACTGATTTAGACTCTACCGCTGACCTCTGGCCGTCCCACATCCCGAGCCCCATTCCCTTACCTCTCTGCCAGGTAACGTAATTCAGATTTCTCTAGAACTCAAAAAAAAGAGTCTTTTTTTGTTGCTTTTTTCCTGTCACTTGTCTTCTGCTGTTCATTTCCACAGTTCCTGAGAGCTGTCCTCGAGAGCCCAGTCCCGCACGTTGGGCAGGTTGAGGGCCTCGCTTTTGACAGAGAGCGAGTTGACCAGTTCGCAGTGGAACTTGCGGATGTGTCGGTAGAGGTCCCCGGACTGCGTGAAGCGGCGCTCGCACCACTTGCAGGCGTGCGGCTTCTCGCGCGTGTGCACCACGGCGTGCCGGCTCAGGTTGTGCGAGTACTGGAAGCTCTTGCCGCACGTGGCGCAGGTGTAGGGCTTCTCGCCGGAGTGAGTCCGCTCGTGCCGCTTCAGCGTGTACATGCAGGAGAAAGTCTTGCCGCAGATGGAGCAGGTGGGCACGTTGACGTCGCCGGCCGGCTTGGAACGCACTCCCTCCTGCTCGCGGAAGTGCGTGCTGAGGTGGATCTGGAGGATATGGGGGCTGGGGAAGACCTTACTGCACAGGGGACACATGAAAATCTGACCATGGGGGGCTCCCAGCATGTTGGAGACATAGGGCAGCAGGGAGCCGTCGATGGCGGCGGCCTCAGCCTGCGCCCGCTCGCTCTCGGGGCTCAGCATCTCGTCGTCCTCGCTGGCCTTGTCCTCCCGCTCCAGCTCACCGGCCAGCGAGGAGTCGCGCAACGCCGAAAGGTGCGCCTCGTAGCCCAGCCTGCGGTGAGTGCCGGTGGCACCGTTGGTGCTGGGCGGCGGCTCCTTGACACCACTGTGGTCCATCTCGTAGTCTCCGCTGGCCAGCTCCTCGTCGTCGGAGCCCGTGTCCTTCTCCACCTTCACCTGCACCAGGCCGCCTGGGAGGCCGTCGGAGGCCGGCGCACCGCAGTAGTAAGGGTTACTTGGGGTGCCGGTGCCGGCAGCCACCGCCTCTCCGGGAGTCCCAGCCAGGCTGGACTTCACCGAGAGGTCCAAGGCGCAGTCGGCGTCCGCGGCAGCCCCGTGGGAAGAGGCCGAGCGGCGGGACAGGGAGCCGGCGGAGCTGCACGGGCTTCCGGCGGGTGACGGTTTCCCCGCATCCGCTGTGTGCGTCTCCGCCTCCCCGCTGCGGGTGCCCCCCGGAGTCCCGGCGGGGTCAGAAGGCAGCCGCATCCACATGCTGCCCGGCTCATGCAGTGGGTCCCTCTTGGCGTCCAGGTCCTCGTCGTCACTGGGCAGTAGGTCTCCGGCGGCCGGGTGGCCCGTGCTGCCCTCCGAGAAGCTCTCCACCTTATCGGAGCAGCTGGAGGCATCCTCCTCGCGCCGCGTGCTGTCTGCCTCAGCCGTGGCCTTCTGCTTCAGCTTCTTCTTGCAGACCTTGACGATGTCATACATGTGGAGGTAGCTGGCGGCGGCCAGCACGTCCTCCACGGGCAGCGCTTTGAACTGAAGCTTCCCCTCGTACATGAATTCGAGCAGGAGCGCAAAGGCCGGCGCCGTGACAATGTCGCTGTTCAGATGAACAATGTCCCTTTTGTCCAGCTGGTCCTTGTAAAAGAGGTGGAAGTACATGCTGCAGGATGCCAGCACGGCACGGTGGGCCCGGAACTGGGCATCGCCGACTAGCACGGTGGAGTCGCACAGGAAGCCTTGGTGCCTCTGCTCACTCAGACACTGTAGCAAATGTCTGCTGTGGTCTGGAAACTCCATGCTGTCTTCATAACCTGAAACAGACAGCAGATGTTAGAGTCCCTCCAGGACAACTATTGTTTAGTTTCAGCATTTACTCTTTTTCCTCTTTTCTTCTGAAGCTCTCAAGTTCTCTCTCTCCTTCTCTCTCTCCTTCTCCTCTCGCACAAGACACACAGGAACACACTTAAAAAAAAAAATGTAAAAAAAACTGAAAAAACCCCCACAAAATACTGAAAATGCCTCAGAAAACAAAAACCTTTTTTTGCCGCAATAGTCAAAAAAAAAAAAACTGCGAGTCAACTTGATGACCCCCTTTAAACTCTACGAGGTCTATTTGCCTGAGCCATCTCTCGCCGGCTCTACTAAGACGTCCAAACGATCCTCGCACCAGGACAACTCTCATTATGTCTGGCTTATTCACAGAGCAACTGGTGATGGGTGCCGCTGGTGATCTGCGGCCGCCTGCGCTCACACCAGGCGAGGCACAACTGATGTTCTTTTATTCACAGAAATGCCCGTTGCGGCCACAGCACCGGCTTGCAAACCTGCGGTTTTACAGTCGGCGCTCAGACCGAGTTTATGCTTAATATAGCCCGCCCTGGATAAGGCGTAGGTCTTAAGTAACAGGCTTTCAGGTACACACCACACACACGAGAGATCGTTTTGTACACTTTAGATTATGTCTAAGGGCAATTTAAAGGACTATTCATCATTCAAAATACAGCAAGCGGTTAAGTGTAAAAATCTTGGATTTACAATTGTAACCCATATCAGCAAAAATTATAAAAACCAAATCATAAATTCTTAAAAGTGCAAGATTAAAAAAAATATATACTTTATCTAAATTATTTAGAATGCAAAAAGTGAAAGAAAAAAAATCACACCTGTTACCCATAAACACCGAGAGCCGGTCACAAAATTATGTGCAAGAGCAATTAGAAAATGCTAATTCTTCACTTAAATCTGGTCAGTTTATTGTGCAGCTCCCACATCAGACTCCAGATTTTCTTAATGAGACAAGCTTAGAGGGACAATGCTGTTTACACCCCCCACACACACTCCCCCCTACCCCTGCCTAGCCATCCCCCCAGCCAGCCACCCCTGCCCCCATCCTTCGAGAAACTGCACATCTTAAACCAAAGAGAAAAAAAAGGCCCGAAGATTTACAATACAATCACTTTAAGTGCCCTGTAGTCTACATCAATCCCTAATCCCTAAGATGGCTATAAATAAAGGCTACAGGACAGCTCACAAGGTAGCGGCGATCAAATTAGGAGGGTGCGAGGACAGGGAGGAACGAAGGAGTAAGCTTATAAACATCTGATCCAGCTGACTGGGGCCATATGGCAGCTGCTGCCCAGATAAAGAGATTAAGACTAGGCAAAGTGCGCTTACAGCTGTCTGGCCAATTCAGGCAGCTCAAATCTGCAAGTTCTAAATTAGTCACCAACAACAAAAAAAGGGGGAAAAAGGAAAAAAGGGACTTACAAATGAAGTCAAAGTCAATTTTATAAAAAATCCATACATTCTCTTTACTCCGGTCATTACCAAACACATTGGCTACCGGATGCGTTAAGCACTCCGTCTGTACTGCTATTTCCGAGAGCCGAAAAGCACAGTTTTCTGTTGTCTTATTCACACTTAGACGCATTTGTCAACCATATATTTAGCCCAGATTACAGCCGATAGTGTTATACACGAGAAAAGATAAGCGCATGAAGCAATGGGCACACTTTGTGGAACTGCCGTGAAGGTTAGCACAAAGCCTCTCAAATCGAAACTGCTTTCCGAGCGCAAACTTCACTAAAAAAGCCAACACAAGAATAACAACGACAATAATAATTATAACAATAAAACCGCTATTGCTGTTGTTATAATACTAACAAAAATGCAGCTCCCTAAAGCGCAAAGTCAGTCACAGTTCACAACGTCACAGACATGCGATGGGATGGAACAAACAACCTCTCATCCTGTCTCCAGCCGCTGCCGGTCCTCTCTCCAGTCCGGGAACACAAAATCCTTCACTTCCCATGCCGGGAGCCCCTGACCTTCGGAGTAAGGCAGTGCGGATGGGAGCCGGCGGCCCCCCCTTCCCCAGACACAAACAGCCCTGTGTTCAGATGCCCCCTCGCGCAGTACCTGCAGCATACATCAACTCGATTAAGTCCTCTGTTCTAGCAGATCGGGGACGGCGGCTGCTCCTTTTGCCGATTCGTAGAGGAGGTTGCGGGGGGAGTGGGGGGTGGGGGTGAGCTGAGCTGGTTGGAGGGGGGGGGACACACACACAATCAAGCTGCGAGAGACAGATGCAAAGTGGAGAAGATGTTGGAGGGGAATGAGATACCTACTCCCGCACACGGATCCGAGTGCTCACTAACTCTCAGCCTGCACTACAATAAAAGACGGGGGGGATGGATGGCAGCTTGTCAGCTGGTCTGACATCACGTTCAGATGGAAATGCTACCTCCAGCTGTGCTCCTTTTACTGCCATATGCTGCTTCTCTACACTCCTGCCACCAGCTTCTCCTTAACACAACTTTGTTTCTCTTTCCCTCCTTCAAAAAAAAAGGGGGGGTGTCAGTGTAGTGAGGTGTTCCTGCTGAACACCACCCAGCCTTCTCAACTTCTAATCTCCAAGTTTTACAAAATAGGTCTGTGTGAAAACCGACACTTTTTCCTAACCTACTTTCCTGCACAGAGAATTTAAATACCCTCAAGTCCCCCCCCCCCACTACTCTCCTTCCAGTAACCATAAACAAAGGCCAGCAGAGCACATTTGCAACTGACAGATCCACGCAGATGATATTGTTTTCGACTTTTTTACGGTTCACTGCCTCGCCAGAACCGTCATTCATTTTACAGACCCTCTGGACAACTAATAGAAAAAAAAATAATAAAGAACAATGGCTACAACCATATAGAGCCCATGACTAGACATTTAAAAGAAGACAAATAATTCATAATAGAAAGACAAAAACTTTGCTACAATCCTCCGATTTAAATATGCAAGTGCTCGGTTTTTGCGTGATACTTCTTCCTCCCCGTTTTTTGTTTTTTTTTTTTACTGTGAGAACATATGTACAACGGTTCCCCTTTACCAACAACAGCCAAATTAAACGAATTGCCTATAAAAAACAGCCGATATCTTATCAAATTAGAAAGCAGGAGTCGTACAAATTAAGTTTCCGCTTCGCTCCGTTTCAGCGAGGAAATTCGACGGAGCGAAGCCGGACACGGCGCGGTTCTCTTACTGAAATCGGCGTGAGAAACGACATCTCCGGACTGACATCTGTCTCCTTCCTCAAAGCGCGATCACCGCAGTTTCACCTACGGAGAGTTCCGTTCTCTCATCACCCCCATATCGGCGATCATAAAACCCCAACTTTCAAACATTTGGCAGATTTAGGTAGGGTTACAGTCTGCGCTGATCTGTGTGGGAGCGGCCGACAAGCAGATAAAAAAAAGTCCGAATCATCTGCCCGAGGAGGAAGAAAATGCATAAATATACATAAATTAAGACAAATGTTGAATAAACGTATGTCTATGCTATGCAGTGCGCACCGATTCCTGTGCACTACGCTTTCAGGGTCTCCGTGTGAATTTCTAGTGCACTAGTGCAAAGACCCCCAAATTTTTAAACTTAATTTCACCGATGATTTCATCACTAGCTCACCCTCTATATATGTATGCACATACATATATATATATATATTTATGCTCACGTGTTTCAATGTAAAAAGAAGAATGTGGATATTTTTATAACCCAACGTCTCGTGTTTATTTCCTCTCTGAAATTACTATGTATCAGGTCGTGCTGTTTAATTCATCGCTACTATAGAAGAAACTTTTTGGTCATGTTTTCAAATGCAATTATAGAAACACCGAAGCAGACCAAACACAAAAAGGATTTACTATTTTATATTTCACTTCCATTACAAACTTTATTTCATTTCTTACTGATAATGCACCGGACGCTTGTGGTGAAAGAGCGGCTTTATTTTATTATCGTCTTTTTTCTGTCAATGACCAGGTAGGCTAGCTATGAAATCCCGTCTCCTCCCAGGCTTGGAAGAAAAACACAAGCGCTTTCCAGCCGTCCAGCAAAGTGGCGCTTTCCAGTCGTCAAAAAAACACAACACTGGCGAGCTAATGATATACAATCTCTCTCACACACACACACGCGCGCACGCACGCACGCACACACACTCTCGCGCACACACACACACGCGCGCACACACACTGACCCAAGCACAGTCACAGCTAAGGGAAAAAAGTAACCGACCAACCTGCTGTATTGCTGGCTCTCACACAGGCCCCGCCGCTTCGCTGGGACGCATTAGACGGTCTTTGAGTATCTAACATCGTAACTATTTTGTACCGGAGACGGGAACTGTCGTTTAAAAAGCAGCGTTACTTTTTCCCCGTTCAGCCCACCCATTCGCCTTACCCCCCCTCCCCTTTCATCTCCTTTTAAAAAGACACCCGTATTAAAGGCACTTACAGACAACAAGCTCCCGCTTCTTGAGTCCGTGAAATACTCTCGGTTGAAAAAAACAACTCGATTGACTTTCAGCAGCTCTCCATAACAACCTGCGGCGGCGGAAAGACGGAGCCAGCGAGCGAGGAGAGAGAGAGACGAGCTGCGGCAGCCAGATGTTTCCGAGCTGTTGCTACTCAACTCTCCAGCTAGGGGGGAAGGCGGCCGACTGGCGTCGGAAGGAGCCAATGGGGACGGCGGTAGGAAGCGCCAGGGCAAATCGGAAGCGGCCGCCGAGGGGCGAAGGGGGCGGGACGTCTGTCCTCGGCGTAGGTTGACACCAGGCAACAGTGAGAAGGCAGAAAAAAAAGAAGGGCCAAGCGAGCTGGTTCCTCGAGCAGACTGGCGCAGGGCACAGAGCGAGAGAGCGAGCGAGAGAACGCAATGTTACGTGGGTACTGTAGTCACGGCTCGGCCGAAAGGCTACGGAGGAGAACAGGTGCACTGCCTCCCTAGCCGCGCTGCCGCCGTCCTTCAGAAAACTCCGCGGGGTGCGACGTGACTGCGATGAAGCCGCCGGGAGTGGAGGCGTGAGAGAATGCGTTTAATTACGTATAATTATTTAAACAAGTACAAATGCTTATTTTAGTCGGATTAGGTGAAGTTTTACGTTGTGTAATATTCTTTATATGTGCTTTTTTTCCGTCCTTTAAGTAAACGTTCATTCATACAGATTCAGCTTCTCGGTTGACATTCTCCACTGTAATTTGAGCATTTATCTGTGCCATTAAACTTAAAGGTGCTTTATTGAGTTCAAGTGTATAATTTGAATATTTCTATCAGTAAAAAGAGTCCTATTATTTACATTGCAGATTTTGGGCATGATTATAAAATTATAACGCGAGCTGGCTTAATGTTAAAGTCTTTACACACAATAACTAAAAAGGAAAAAAAGAAGGGTTACCATGTAAAGCTAGAATTTTGTCACTAGTATACACCTATACAATGCCAATAACAAAATCCACATCGATACACTTACTATACCGTCTAATATACTTGTTTTCGTGCAGAAATCTTATAACTTAACGGTAATTGCCGTTTACCCGAGTGAATTCTCGTGTAGTAAAATTTTAAATCAAATAATTACTAAACCTATAGTGCCATATCATCATTCAGTTATAATTACAACACAGAGTAATATCCGTCTTAATAAATTGACTAATCAATTGTTGGGTCATAGAAAGAATATATGTTGCTTTTCAGTTTCGCTCATTAGAAAACTGCTAGAAACTGGTAGAAAATATACCTATAGACTTAAAAGGTAGATAAAATACTCAAATTTGTATGTTATATAGTTTCAGTATTTTTAGACACAAATTACATTATGTTACCTATTTTTTCAAGTGAGATTCGAGTCGCAGATGCAAAATTCAGTAAAGAAACAGACGTGAAATTCTGTCTCGTCCAACGCAGCCTTTTCGCTTTTTCTTGCATTTGGCGTCATCTCTTGTAGTTCGCCTGAAAGTGTTTCCGAAAAAAGAACAAAACTGCGGCAACGAACAGTTGTAGGCAACCGAGATGAATCATACGGTTATTTATTGCCGCGTTTTAAACGGAAATAGCCAGTTTAACACATTGGCATCAACTAGTAACAGACACAGGTTTTCATTCGTCTAATTTTATCTAATCTAAAGTGGAATAATTTCTGATCGACCCCGTAGTCTGTAGCTCCTAAAATTCAACTCGTTATATTATGTTAAACTCTACTTTATAATACACCGAATTACATCTACACCAACCTATTAGTATGGAAAGCTTTAAAATTGTTAGCAAAGATTGATAATCCCATACAGGCTACATTTCATAAAGGGGTATATTTTAAGATCTGGACACGGCTTTTTCTGGTTTAATCTGGAATGATTTACTAGTTTATGTTAATAAAATGTCACTTGTTTTGATGGATGATTTTAAAATCATTTGAATACTAGTAAACTCAACTATGAATTCATAAACTACATTCAAGATTATTTTTTGCAACTTCCACAATAAGTCTCATAGTTTGTTGAAATGCACGAGAATTTATTCCATACTAGTATTTCTCAGAAATAAAATAATATTAATAATATGACTAAGTATGACCGTCCACCGCATGTTGCCATTGTCCATCTCAAACATATCTACAAAACACAGATTCTACAGAAATCCAATGTGTGTGTAGCCTATATTAATATATGTGTAGTCTTTTCTTATTATCTAAATAAATGTTTCACAAATTGTGAGATTTATCTAGGTCAGGATTTCAGTGAAAAGCAGCAAAAGCTAGAGCAATGTCCTAATAGCCAAAGAGGAAGTGTTTGGAGGAGATCCTGCAGACTTCTTAATTAATCTAAAAAAAAAGTGTTGTGGATTAGAGAGTGGTGATCAGCGAAGCAGGACCACAGATCTAGGACACCTGGGTGAGTGCCATCCTAACCGGACTTCAGTTTGGCTGAATGGTAGCATTAAATACATAGTTTAGGATTAATAAAACTGACTAGAAGAGCAAAGGAAAACATTCTGCAGTCCTGTGGTGTCAGGGTGGTGTGCTCGTGCATCTGTATGTGAGTCTGGGAAATGCACTAATCCAAAGACTGAATGTACTGAGCTGGATGGGAAAGGTCTTCCTAGTGGTTCGGATATTTGTTAAAGGTCATATTTCCAGATGACATCCTTTGAACATGATCACCTATTTTCAATCAGTGTTCCACTCCACTAAAAATGGGGAGGAAATTTCTATGGGCTAGGGAAGGGTGCTGACGTTTCTGCATGTATGTTGTACACCTTTGCCAAAAGAGGAAGGATTTTAACATCCTCTTCTGGACAGGGGCGCCAGATGCATATTTAACATTAAAAAAAAAAAAAAGACATTTGAGAACTTTCGTCTGTGGCCTGCTCATGTAACTTCAAGAGCACCGGTTTGGAAGCGGAGCCCAGTCACATCGTCTTTCAGTGCAAATCATCAGGCCCCCATTAAACTTGTATTTCGCTTGTGCACCATATTGTCATAATGGTGACCAATTAGTGCATGCATGGCGCACTTATTGTCCGTCAGATGCTCTCGTCAGTGGCCCCCTTGTTTCCCAAGTCGCTCTTTACAATTCGTGTATTGTTCTAAATTCAACCCAGACTTAATTGGGGAATCTTAATTAGTCTCAATAATTAACATTTTAAATGAATAACCTTGCACGTTCACACTATGTGCTGATGGTTATTGGTAAAAATTCTGTGCTCTGCAGCTATTTCAGCAACCCCCCCCCCCCCCCCATGTGGGATGGAATGATACAACTGTCTCGTTCATTAAAATGCTATTTTCAAAACTGTGTTGTCCTGTATAGTATTCTTTTTCCGCTTCCAGCTAGTGGATGACATCGTGTCATGGAGCTTCGCGACCACATGACATGTGTCAATGTCAAAACTGAATCTATTAATTTTTATGATGCAAAGCAAATCTGAATGAAAAGCTCCGCGCTCAGCGATGGTGTTAGTGGCATACATTAAGCGATTACGCACACAAGACGGCCTGCAGGAAACCTCTTATTTGTAGTGCAAACTTCTTGCCATGTGTGTGACTCCAGAGTTGTGAATCCCAGATGATTAGTGTAAACCTTTTTTCTCTTTCGCTCCCCCCGCCCCTCCTACCCTCCCCCGAGTGGAGAGCAGGTTTGATTCCAAATGTTTGTGGAGATGACAGTCGCCTGAGTACAGTCGCCGCGGCGACGGGCAAGCCTGGCTGATGTTCGAAACGATATTTACCACAATCCTCTCCATCTGTTCTGACCAGAGTCAAAGATACGAGAGATGATGCCTCTTGTGCTGTTTAAAAACCGTCTTTTCTGGTAGCTGTTAAAAATCTGGGGAAAAAAACGGAATACATTTTTATTTTAAACAGTGCAGATGGGCTGAATAGTACTGACGTGATTTTTATGAAATTTTAATTTTTTGCCCCCTTGCCGTTAGCTGTACTGCTTTTGGAACAATGAAAGGATGCAGTGATGGTTTCTGGGAAAGATAAGTAACTGCTACGTATTTGTAACAATTCTACGCATCTAAAGGATGATCTGATGCTGGTGCACGGGATGGATGGACTGGCGACTGACCTGAAGGTATCAGAAGTGGTGCAGGGCAGGTACGGTCCATACATGTAAAACACCATAAGCGTAATCCTGTGTTAGTTAGTTTGCAAAAAAACTACTATTAAGCTAATGCTTCAGGAAACAATGTGAATCAAATTCAGTCAAAACCTGCCTGGCTGTCCCGTTCCCTACCTAACAGCAGGAGGTACTGGAGGCTCGCCCCCCCCCTCCCTACGGAAGTCAGACGCGTTTGAAGGAGGAGGAGGCCAATGTTGCTCGGCGGCAGGGCTGACCCCCCCTCCCATGGCTGATGCTACTGCCACAGCTCGTCTTTTGCATTCCTTCCTCTTGAGGTCACTGTGGAATCCCTGCTCGGTCGGTGAAGTCGCTCGGGGGACCCATCATTCACACACGGCAACGTGCATCACCAGGCGTGCAGCCCCGTCACATGACAGGAGGCGGGTGGGCCCTCCTGCTCACGATCCCTCGATGTCGCTCTTCCGCTGCGTGACCTTCGCCCGCTCATCCTCCTTCGCACCTTCGCGATGCCGCCAAGCAGAGGAGCTCCCACCGGCTTCTGGGCGTCAACGCGGCACGGAGCAGTCGAGGAATTTCTGCCTTTTTTTCCCCGTGCAGGTGACAAGTCAGAATGACGTCTTCCAAGATCACAATGGTCTCATCTGATGATCTGTATGTTTCCCTCCTGATTTAGGCCTTGAAATGTAGCACATTTACAGACTGGAGGGGTCACTCCTTCTGTGCCTGTAATTTCTTTAACAGCACATTTTACTAGAGCCTGGTTTGTGTGAAGCAGGTTGTGGGCAAGATGGGA